GTGAAACTCGACCCCCAAAATGGGTTCTGTGGGAAAGCCGACATCTTGGTTTTTTAGGTTACAAAGTTCGATTTGTAATATCTCCGGACTGGGGGATCGCAGCGGGTCGGGGTTTTGGCTGTGGGGTACCCCGGGGGGATATCTTTGGAATATTTATATTTTGGACCAAATTCGGCAAAATAAAATTTGCAGCCCCAGAACCCAATTAGAAACGTAGCCGAGACTAGGCCGAGCTGTCTAGAGAAAACCCGGTCTCTCTCCGACCATTGGTTGCGGAGGTACGGACCTTTAAAGTTGGGGTTTGACAGTTGGTCGGCCATCTTGTTTTGGGGGAAACAGCCGTAACTCCGGAACCGCTCACACTACGAGATCGCGGTTTCCGCTGTAGGCCTTTGGAGGGCAGTGGCTACCTCCTCCTGAAATTTCAGGAGGATAGGAGCTAAAAAATTTTGGGGTCCTGAAAATAGCGCCAGGCGATAGGAGTTGTCGGGGTGATCGCGACAAGCCCAAACACGGGTATACTGGGACGGATAGGACCGGAAATACGACCGGCCAAAAATTGACTCGCGGCCATTTTGAAAATTTTTAAAGTCGATTATCTCAGGAACGCGCTGTCCCAGCGAGTTGGGGTTTCCTGCGAGCGCCTCGGCGGCTCTTGCCGCACACGAAATTTAGAGTCTCGGGGGTATCCGAGTTCAAATAAGTTTGGGGGTTCAATTCCGTTTCCGGCGGCAAGATCTCGGCGGACCGAGCCAGGCGAGCCCAAGCACGGGCCAAATTGGACCATTGGCTCCGAAGATACAGGGGAGTAACTATATCGGGGCAGCCATCTTGGTTTGTAACCACGATTTTTAAACCCCTCTATCTTTAGACCCTTTTGAGGTAGGTGAGTCGTGTTTGGTATCGTTGGGACGGGCTCGCCGGGGGCTTTTTGATCGTGTACCCCATTGGGCTCTACGTAGAGTCCGAAAAAAAAAAAAAAAAAAAAAAAAAAAAAAAAAAAAAAAAAAAAATATAGTATTCTTGTTTCGTTTCTTAGTTTTATATATTTCAGATTTTTCCCATTGGGTCCCTTACCCACCCTCACTCTACCCATACATAACCTATACAGGGAAGCCATGTCTGCCTCCCAACGTAAAGTGGCGGCCAAAAAAACAGTCTCGAAAAAGCTCGACATGGATTCATCCTTGTCGGGGGTGTCCTCGGCGGTTTCAGCGTTGGCATGCATCGCCCCACCTACAACACACGTGAAGGCATCCCGAACGCTCCGTGAAAAGGTCCTCACGAAAACAGTAAGAGCCAAGGACCCAGAGAAGCATACGCAGCCCTCCGGCTCGGCTGAACCAGCATTGCTTACTGAAACCAAGGCATCAGGAAGTAACACCGCGGAGCGGGAGGGGCAGGTGCCGCCCACATCATCTAGGGATAGCGACGTTACAGCCTGCACGGCTGAACCCGGGCGGGGGGAAGTGTGCGGCGAGGGGGAGCCGGCCGTCTCGGAAGCGTCGGTCGTTACCCCAAACGACCAGACGCTGCAGAAAATATATAACTGGCAGCAGGATGACCTCTCTCCCATGCCTGTCATCTCCGACGACGAGTCGGTCGTTTCCCTGCCGGCTTCGCCTGTCCTCGGGGACAAAAGGAGACAAAGCATGCTCCTGACCTCCGGGAGGCGGCTCGGAGTGGAAATGGACGCGGCCACAAAAGAGGCCAACGAGGCGCTCCTTAGGGGAAAGGAGGCCCTGGAGTCGTCGGGCAACATTAGGAGGGACTGCAAACAGACAGCGCTGGAGAGTCTCCAAACGCTCTACGAGATTGCCCTGGCGCTGTCGGACTCCAGGTCCAGACATAAGGAGAACCTGGAGAAGGAACGGTCGAGGCACGCCAGGGAGCTCGTGAGGGCTGAGAGGGCTCACAGTAAAGAGATGGCCGAGCTGTTTAAAAACGTTGCCACAGAACTAGGCCAGGCGCGCGGTGAAATCGTTGAAACCCTGAAGGAGTCCAGGGCAACGCGGGACTGGCTGGGCTGCGAGACTCGGGAGCCCTTCGAGCAAATTGGCCAGCTCAGCCGAGCGCTCGCGGACCTCGGGAAAAAGCAGGAATACTTGGCCGACTGCCTTGCTCGGCACAAGGAGGACCCAGCTGGCAGCAACAACAAAGAGTTCTCAGACATAAAGACCGCCCTGAGAACGCTGTCATCTCAATTAGATGCACTACGCAGGGACTCCGAGAAGGCCGAAAGGGAGCACTTAAAAGCCAAGGAAGCTTTTCGCGAGATCCTCTCTGCCGTCGGCTCACAACAAAACGACCACGGCATGGCCGGCGTGGTGGGAGAGCTCGCGAACATTAGATCAGAGATCGTTGAGCTCTTTAACTTCTGTCGGGAGAATCGGGCGACCGTGAGCCCTGCTCCTCCGGAGACGCAGGAGGGCACGAGGGAGGCGATCGAGCCCCTAAGGGAGAGGCTAGACATCGTCGTGGCGGAGTTACGGGGACTGAAGGAGGTGAGGGAAAAAACTCCTCCTCCAGCGGTTCCGAGCCTGAGTGCGGAACTGGCACAGGCGGTGAGCGGGAGACCCGTGGACAGAAGAATGACTTTCGCCAGGGTGGTCGCAGCTCCTCCTCCGCCAAGGCCGAATCACACCCTCATTATATCATCAAAGGACCCCAAACACACCGGGGAGCAGGTCGTTGAGCAGATAAGAGACACCCTTAATACAAAGACCACTGGGGCCAGGGTGGACCGGCTGAGGAAGGCCAGAAACCAAAAAGTGGTTCTGAGCTGCGGCACTCGAGAGGACCTCGAACTGGTTCAGAAGACAGTTAAAGCTAACAACAAGCTGAAGGTAGAGGTGGCGAAGGCCGGGAACCCGCTGTTGGTCCTGAGGGACGTCATGGCCTACCATAAGGACGACGATATGGTGGCCAACATACTGGCCCAGAACAAGCACCTTACGACGGGACTTTCGGCGGATGACACCGCACTCAAACTCCGGTACCGAAAGCGTGCTAGGAACACCCTGCAATGCCACCCCGTCCTGGAATTGTCGCCTCTGCTGCACAAGAGGTTTGTGGAGGCCGGAAGAATATATATTGGACTGCAGAGAGTAGCGGTGCAGGACCACTCCCCGCTCGTGCAGTGCATGAGATGTCTGGGCTACGGGCACACCAGGGCTATGTGTAAGCGCGAAGAGGAGCTCTGCAGCTACTGCGGGGGTCCCCACACATGGGAGAAGTGTCAGGGCCGACAGGACGGCAGAGCCCCGACCTGCATAAACTGCGCCGCGGAAAATCTACCGGACAGTGATACCAGGCACAATGCCTTCAGTGCGGAGTGTGCGGTCAGGCGGAGGTGGGATGCGATAGCAAGATCACGGATAACCTACTGTTGAGAAGGACGACGACGTGCAGGGAAACGCGCCGCCGAAACCGGGGGCAATAAACAGGCTCAAATTCATCCAGGCCAATCTACAGCGATCAAAAATTGCCACAGCCGAGCTGCTCCGAGCAGCCGAGGCCGGGGGAATAGCCGTCGCAATAATTCAGGAGCCCTATACGGGGAAACATGGCACCGTCAGAGAGTATCCGGGCACGAGGGTGGTTCAGTGCACCCTGAACCGCCAAGGCCCGGTCAAGGCGGCCATTGTAGTTTTCGGAAACTGGTTGGAGGTAATCCACGACCCCCAGCTGGTGACGCAAACGGAGGCGGCTGTTCTCCTGAGGGCGGAAAATCTGCGGCTCGGAGTAGTCTCGGTATATTATGATGGCGGGGAGGAACTGGAACCTTATCTGAGACGGACCCAGAGGGCGTGTAGTGGGTTAAACGCGAGCAACATAATAGTGGCCGGGGACGTGAACGCCTGGAGCCACTGGTGGGGTAGCAGTACCGAAAATGAGAGGGGAGCGAGATACACAGACTTTCTGGCGGAGATGGACCTTCAGATCCTTAATACAGGAGACACCCCGACCTTCGAGGTTCCCAGGGATGGCAAAATGCACACTAGCATAGTGGATGTCACAGCATGCAGTGTGTCACTGTTAGGGAGGATCGAGGACTGGAGGGTCAACAGGCATCTGACAACATCGGACCACAACGCCATAACCTTCTCCCTGCGCATGGCGTCGGCGCTGGAACCACTAAAACCGTGCACGACCCGAATATTCAATGCCAAAAAGGCAAACTGGCAGGAATTTGCGCAATCACTCAGGAGGGAACTGGGAGAGCACGGCCTCACAACCGGCAAAATTAATGCAGCCAGAACAGGGAGCGAGCTCGAGGCAATTACAGCAGCCTACACAAACGCCATATTAAAGTGCTGCGAAGAAACAATGCCAAGGGCCGGACACTACAAGGGGAAACCAACCCCTCCCTGGTGGTCGGAGGAGCTCCATGAGCTGAAAAAGGACACCCTGCGCAAGAAAAGGAGGATAAGAAACGCTGCTCCCTCAAGAAAGCGATACGTCATTGACGAATACCTGATAGCGAAGAGGGAGTATGCGTCCAAGGCCGAAACAGCTCAAACTCAAAGCTGGAAGAGTTTCTGTACCGCGCAGGACAGGGAGAGCATGTGGGACGGGATCTACAGGGTCATCAGGAGGACCACCAAGAGGCGTGAAGACACGTTACTCAGGGACTCGGTGGGCAGGACACTCGCCCCCGAGGAATCCGCCGAGCTCCTGGCCAGAACCTTTTACCCTGACGACTATGTGGATACTGATGAACCTCACCACACTCGTGTCCGGGAGGACTCTGAAAAGGAGTCATTACCAGTGACCGACACATCGGCTGACGACCCGCCCTTCACATTGTCGGAGCTGGAAGCGGTCCTCGCGACGCTCAACCCCAGAAAGGCGCCGGGACCGGATGGTCTAACGGCAGATATATGCGCGGCAGCGATCCGGTGCGAGGGGGAAATTTTCCTAGCAATGGCAAACAGGTGTCTGGCACTTGCGTGCTTCCCAGGGCAATGGAAAACGGCCCACGTGGTAATTATTCCAAAGCCGGGGAAGGAGGACTACACTCATCCAAAGTCCTACAGACCGATAGGACTTCTGTCTGTCCTCGGCAAAATAGTTGAGAAACTCGTGGCCGAGAGACTCCAGTGGCACATCCTTCCCACCCTTAACCCCAAGCAATATGGCTTTATGCCGCAGCGCAGCACCGAGGACGCCCTCTACGACCTGGTGAACCATGTAAAGGGAGAAGTCGAGAACAAGAAAATAGTCCTCCTAGTCTCACTGGACATCGAGGGGGCTTTCGACAACGCATGGTGGCCTGCGCTAAAGACACAGTTGTCAATCAAGAACTGCCCACCAAACCTGCGGAGCCTGGTGAAGTCCTACCTTGCGGACCGGAGGATATGTGTGAACTATGCTAGGGCGAAGTACGAAAAAGAGACGACCAAGGGCTGCGTCCAAGGATCCATCTGCGGACCAACCTTTTGGAACATCATTCTTGACTCGCTGCTGAACAAAATAACCGGAGAGGGAATGCACTGCCAAGCTTTTGCCGACGACGTGGTAATAGTGCTGTCGAACCACTCCGGTGGGGAAATCGAAAGAGCGGCAAACAGGATCCTGGGAGTTGTTGTCGAATGGGGCAACCAGAACAAGCTTAGGTTCGCACCGCAAAAGACCGGCGCTATGGTGATCACCAGGAAACTCGTGTACGACTCGCCCAGGCTGGTCATGGCTGGGGCGCCCCTCAGCCTGGTAAAAGAGATTAAAATACTGGGACTAATAATAGACCACAGACTCTCCTTCGGGTCGCACGTCGCCGCAGTATGCAAAAAGGCTGCGGACATCTACAAGCAACTGGCATGTGCTGCGAGGGTGACGTGGGGCCTGAACGGAGAGATAGTAAGAACAATTTACGTTGCGGTCATAGAGCCAATAGTCATGTACGCCTCGGGGGTGTGGAGCCCCGCGACGAGGCTCCGGACGACCAGAAGACGGCTGGACTCGCTGCAGAGGGGCTTCGCCCAGAAAATATGCAGGGCTTACCGAACGGTCTCCCTTACGTCGGCGTTGGTTGTAAGCGGCCTTCTTCCGCTAGACATTAGAGTCCAGGAGGCCGCGACACTTTACCAGGCTAAGAGGGGTCTATCAGCCGACTACGTACCGCCTGGGAGGGAGCTGGAAAAGAAGACACACTACCTGAGTCGACCTCACCCCTCGCAGACGATAGCGACTAATTATGAACTCCTCGAAAACATGGAGCCCGACACCGTCGCCCGGCACCACATCGCCGGTCCGCGGATATTCACAGACGGCAGTAGGATGGGGGGGAGAGTGGGGGCTGCACTGACTTGGTGGGAGGACAGCGGGGAGACCGCTTTCTATACTTATACCCTGGATCGCTCTTGCACGGTATTCCAGGCCGAATTATACGCACTGCACCGGGCGATCTCCCTGGCAGCGGGGAGCGGCAGACCGGTAGTAAACGTGCTGAGCGACTCCAGGTCATCACTAGAGCTCCTCCGAAACCCCAGGGCTTCCCACCCGCTGGCGGGACTCATCCGGGAGGACATAAGGAGGATTGGAATGGAGGGAAACACGATCCGTCTCTTCTGGCTGAGAGCTCACGTGGGAACAGCGGGAAACGAGAGGGCCGACCAACTGGCGAGGGAGGCCGCTGGCACCGAGCCCAGAGACCCAGACTACGATGCTGTACCACTCTCATATATTAAAAAAATAATTAGAAAGGAATCCGTTCACAGATGGCAGGACAGATATGACGCCTCCAGCACCGGCTCAGTCACGAAGGTGTTTCTGCCAGATGTAGACAGAGCCTACCGGATCGTTAGGAGGACAAAACCCACACCTTTACAGGTGCAGGCGCTGACTGGTCACGGGGGCATAGGGGAATACCTGCATAGATTCCACCTGAAAGACAACCCTGGCTGCGAGTGCGACAGCGTAGTTGGAGAATCGGTGTGGCACCTCCTGACGGAGTGCCCCCGTTTTCAGTCTGACCGACTGGACCTGGAACATCGCACAACCATAAAAGTACTCACACAGAACTTTGCGGCCATCATGGAGGACAAAGAGGCGGGGGCTCTCCTTCTGAAATTCGCCGAAAGGGTCTTCCGGATCGCTACGGAACGAAACAAGATCGACCGCCCCACTCACTCTCGGCCCTCGACGGGAGATACCCCGACCTGGGTCGCGCCCCTTTTGGCCCCTCGACGCCGCATACCCCAACATCAAATTGTGAGGATCTCTGAGATTGGACGACCGGGACTGGACGTGAGGCGGTTGGCTCATTTCATGAGCGAAAGTTCCGAGCGGCTTGGTGTGGGCTTCTGCAGGTGTCTGCGAGGCGGCGTGGTGCTGTCACCGGGCCTCGCCGCCTTAATCAGGGGGGGCGCCTCAGGGACCAGTATGAAGCGGAAGGAGTACGACGATCTTGCGGAGGCTACAGTAGCGGATCGGGTTTGCAAGGTGGTAAGAGCTCGCAACAAAATAATACTCCTCTTTGCTTGGGAAGAGACAGCCCCATTCG